CCCCCCCCCCCCCCAAAAAAAATCAGGGACTATCCCAGTTTGTATCTGACGGTGGTAGTTAGCTCTGAGTTATTTGAGGTCAAAGGTTCAAAATCCTGAAATAACTTCCTGACAGTCCGATAAACAGTTTCAACGTTTCTGCTCTTTTGGGTTTTAGCGACTTGATTGAGACACATCAGTCTAAAATGATCAACGCTGTTAGTTGAATCAATTAAAGCCTGATTTAAGAATAAGCTAATTCGATTTTTTTCTTGGATTTACGTTTTTATACAGCTATCACCCAGAAACAGCTTTTTCTTCGCTATCAGTGATCTGCAGATTTATCTTCTGTATGTTGTTTCTATAATAAAATTAAACATCACTTTCGATAATCTTCGCTTTGCTCAGCTGCCCTGGTCGAGCCAATTCTTCCAAGCGGGACGCAACTTTAGTTTCTGCAGATACGTGGATGATTTTGTAGTTTTGCACGACGGCTTGTAACATTCACTCATCACCTCGGAGGCGTTCAGTCGTTTGCTAAGAGCTCGTGACCAATTTTGTGCTAGTGTCCAGCTGATAATGATATTTACAGACACTTCTCTTTTCCTTTGACACCCGAAGCCAAGATCGTACATATTTATTCAACTTAGCTTAACAACACAACGGAGAGTTCCAAATGTTTTTAGCACATGTTAGCCTGCGTTCGGCTGCTCCCCGGGCCGGGCGGACTCATTGCTGGGGAGCCAAGGGAAGGACAAGTCATCGATGTCAACACACTGAGAAAATACGTCACTCGGGGGACAGACACACAGGGATTGGACTTCAAGAGTTTCACGTCCAAAAAAGGACATTTTCCCTCTGAGAAGAGCGAAGTATTTAAAAAAAAAAGAAAAGCAGAGTATGGGATGGATTAGGAGACGCCTTTAAATCATTGTTTGGATAATAAAGTAATTAAGCAACACAAAAAAGACGACATGACGATTTACAATTCTCATAGTTGAGGCTGAGCTCATGTCATCTCATGTTATTGATTAGTTCATGTTGAATCATCGGGGTGTAGCTTGTTTCTGTAATGATGGCTAATGGGGCCAGTTTTACAATTTGGGGATTTGGCAGAAGAGGGGGAGTCTGGATTTGGCAGCGAGAGACTTCTGTCGGAGCTCAGGAGACGAGGGGGAGGGTCGTCTTCTGACTGTTCCTGTTTAAAAACCTGTGGAGCGGTTCCAGTTGCACACTCCCAGGGCACGGTAATGATGTCGAGGCCGAGTCCCCCTCATCCCTGGAGGCAAGCGTGTCTACACCGGCCCACAAAAATCAATCACATTTTCCTCTCTGCTTTCCAACAGCTTTCAGTTAAATCAGAAACACAGAGAACACAGGAAACAACTGATAGAAACACCACAAATGAAGACCTGCTTTCACCCCCCCACCCCCACCCCCCCTGTCCTCAGAAGGAGCGGAGAATATTGTTGGGATGCAAATCAATGACAGGACGGCCCGTGTGACAGAGTGGACATGTGAGAGCAATGAAAGATGAAATGCAGAGATGCACAATTTAGCTCGCAGCGATTTGCAGGATCAGAAAAGTGGGGATGAAAAATGGGGGAAAATATTGTTCAGGGAAACCAAACCTGGAAAGAGGAAGAACCGGCCTGGCTCTGTGAGCGGACCTCCAGTTACGACCAGACTGTTCGGCGTGGACCGGAGCCACGTGACGACTCGAACAAGAAATAACTGCTGAGACGGGAAACTGATCTGACATAAAACAAGGTTCCTGAGCCCTCGTTCTCTCAGCAGCGTGTCCAGTGACATAAAACTAACACAGATCTGGCAGCGAGACTTGCACATTAGAAGCAAATCCAAATTTACATGATGTCACAAATTATATAATATATGGCAGCAAATGGTAAATAGCAGCTTCGACGTTATTTTGATGACTGAGTGAGTGTGAACATGGAAAACGTGTAACTCTGCTGAGTGGGTTCGATCTCCTGTGAGAAGGACGGAGAGTCACAGTCCGCTCCAGACAGGATAATACATCAACCGTGATTTTCTCTTCCACGCGAAAAACCACTTCATCGCCTGGACACGTGTGGCTGCAGGGGGCGCTGTTGTCCAGTAAAAGTCACATTTGTGTTGCTTAAAATCTGACAACAGCTGATCTGAGAAGTTAGAACAGGAAAGAACTTCTTAAACTCACTCACTCTGCTGGCTCACGTGGACACAACAGTTTCCATCATGCATCACACACTCCCCACCGGCCCCGTCAAAAACTTAATGCACACGCATGTGCAGGCGTACACGCAGAAAAAATACACGTCCCTTAAAAATCTTAGGCTTTCGTTCTCAAACACTCCTCAATAACAATGAACCCGTCATCCAGAACCGCCAAAGCGGGGAGTGTGTTTTGTCAGAGGCGCCAGAAAAGAAAACGAAGATGACTTCCACTCCATTTGTTTTGCGCCGAGCGAACTCAGACGCAGTCACGCATGTGTGAGCCCCCTCCGACACTTCTGCCGGTGGCGAGCTGTCATCACACGCTCTCCCTCACAACAGTGAGAAGCGTCTCTGCCCAGACTTCACTGTCAGCAGTGTTCTCGTTGCGATGCGTCCAGATTGTGTGCAGACGATCCACGGACAGACATCGAGCCGTGCTCGAATGCGCTCGACCAAAGCGACACGGTAAAAAGTTAGAATGAAGCGGAAGTCTGGAAACGTTGCTGGACCCGTTTTTTAGTTTGAAAATTCCGTTTTCAAAATGCAGTTTCATGCAGTCTACTGACATCCTGTCCTCACTTTGGAAACTGGTGCATTCTGCTGCAGCTTTGTGCAACACTTTGACATTTATGTAATATGAAATAAGGAGCCTCCGAAAGCTGACGTAAATCAAGACACTAACTCGTTGCCAGAATGTGAACTGACAGGAACAATGACGTTTATCTAATCGGATTAATTATGATTTGACGTGAGGCCATGAGTCATTCTTTTCAGGACCAGGCAACATGTCTGTCTTCCCGTAAATGCCTTGGCCTTCCTGCTGAGTTTGAACTGATTTACACACATTGTTATCTTCAATGGGAACAGGGAGATCTGGTTATACATCAACATGAACGGTACAACAGAGAAAGAGATAGTGACAGAGGGACGACAAAAGAAAGAAACAAAGACAAAGAAAATGCTGATGTGATCAGAAAACACACAACAACAAATCGTGAAACACGATAACAAACAGGGAAACACGACGGTGAACAAGAAAACACAAGAGGAAATAAAAAACAAATGTTTGCTCGGCGTCTCCCGGCCTTTCTGCCGGTAGCAGGTAACTTCTCCATTAGAAGTTCGTGTCTTATGATTGGTGAGTTGGTCTTCAGGGCCACCGGAGAGAAACCACAGAGTAAGAAAACAAGAGGGACGGGGGGGGGGGTTTCATTAGAAAACGGGGTTCAAGCGGAAAGAAAATGATAAAAACAAAGCAGAGGAGTGAAGGAGTGCAGCTCTGTAATCTCGCTCTGTTAATCAGAGCTTGTTATAGAGTCATTAGCAGACTTTTCAGACCGTGACGCTCACAACCTCCCTGAAGGGTCCGCACGCACACACACACACACACACACACACCCTGAGAGCCTTCCTCTGCATTTCAGTTCCCAAAGATGTCGTCCTCGACCCGTGCCGACCAGAACAACATTAAAACATTTCTTAGGAGGAGAGAGTTCCCCTCAGGAATAGTTCATTTACCCGCCCCTTGATATGTGCACTTGTGGGCGCACCTTTTTTAATTGGGTCAAGGAGAAAGCCTTGAGCGCAGCCGTGCATGTATGTATCGCTTCATAAGGTCAGCGAACGCATCCCGCCCTCGGTGTGTGTGTGTGTGTGTGCACGCAGATAATGTTTTGGTTACTCTCGGCTTGTTTCGGTCCCAATTTCTCACACTTCATGTAACGTCCACATCGTGTTTTCTTTCTCTTCCTTTCTTTCTACAAGTCACCCTAGAACAAATCTACAGTTTCCCCCTCGAGGACACTTAGGAGAGTGAAAACACATTTAGGGAAACACGCACATCCAGTCATGCTGCAAACATCAAAACATCTAAAGGAAGAGAAACACATTTGCAAGATAATGTTATAGAAACAAAGCAGATGATGAGGAACACGTGCGGGAGGACGCAGAGTGTGAGGTGCAGAGAGTGTGAGCACATAAAGATCCACCTGGATGTTCACATGAAGCTCGATGTCGATGGATGAAGAGTAAAACTTAAATCATCGTTTGATGAATTCATGTCCGCAGAGTTTGGATTTAGTTCCATCCACTGGTTTTGTGTTGAATTAAATCAACTTGACTCTGTTTTAAATTGTTTGTATGGAAACAAATCCCCTGTTTCCTCACCGAAGGTGTTTCAGTCGTTTATCGGTACCAGCTCCGACACATGCGCTCTACACGACGCAGTTCAGTCCCTGTTCGATCTCATGGATCAAAGAGGTACGATACGGATTTCCTGACTCCTTGTGTGTTTGTGTGTGTGTTTGCTGTGCAGGTGCGTAGCCAGGGCGTCACAGAGGAGCTGAAGTGCCTGAGTTTGCTCAACGCTCTGGACAAAGACCAGGACATCCCAGACCAGCTGGCCCAGCTCTTCGGAGAGCCCTGCATCAAACTGGCCGAGGGCATCAAAGCTTATATCTCCAAGGTACGAACGCACGCCGCCAACGCTCAGAGTCTGTAAACACAGGGTTTCATTCCAACTCACTTATATGAGTTTTATTTGTATAAAATCCATCGTTATCGTATCATTTTGATATTAACCTTCGCTGGGGTCTGGTCGGGCAGCGGCGCTGACCGGGGGGGGGGGGGTTCGGGGACATGCGGAGGATTGGTTTCAGCGTGAAGGAATCTCCTCAGTAACGCGGAGCGGAGGAACACGAGCACAGTTTGTCCAACAAATGGCCGAAATTATTTTCAATCACTTTTGAATGGGAGTCGGTTCTGACAGGTTTTTGGACCAAGCGCTAAACTTTTGGACGACTCTCTGAAAGTCCTTGGCTTCTAGAACTAGTTTGATTTTTTAAAAACACAAGAGGAATCATAATAATAGTATATTTAATCATAGTAATAACCTTGTTTTTTCAGTGTTTCTGTCCTCGAGTGTGTCGGGGGGGGGAGGGGGGGGCCTTAAAGAGACAGGAGCTAAAACCAAGTGTTTGAGACAGAGGCTGAAAAGAGGAGCTGCAGCGATGGACGGTCTGAGGAACGTGATGTTTTCTGAACATTAGAGCACGAAAACCACAGAAATTTAAAATGATCAACCTGAATATGAACACACGTCTCCTTTCTAATCTCATTTCCAGGCATGAACTCGAGTGTATCCTTAAAACAACAGTAAAATATAACGAGACGGAAAGAACAGGTTTTTTTTTTTTATCATATATATTCGCAGCTGTCACGGAAACATTCTGTAATATGTGATGGATTCAGTGGAAGAGGGAAAAAAAAATAAAAATACAGCAAGCAGTCAGCGGTTTATCACAAAACTAATTGGACAAGTTTATGACAACATTTGCACTTCATGTGTCTGTACTTGAAAGAGTTGTGTGACCCGGGGTGTTTTACACACACACATACACACACACACACACACACTTCGAGCTGTATGTCTCTGTGTGTGTGTGTGTGTTTACATGTGTTTGCAAGCTTTTGTGTGCACGCCAAGTGTTTGGATTAAAACCCCTTTGGTTTTACAGCCTCTTTTTCTTGAAATCTGATGACGTCAAATCAAGTTCACGCACTCAGAACTGGCACAGAGACAATTCGGGGTTGCAACAACTCCAGTCAAGTGTTACCGTCAACACGTCTTGAGCAAGTCCCGTCCATCGAACGTGCAGTTTCGCCCCTGTTAACCAGCACATGGGTCAAATTCTGTCCGTCTCCCAAATGTCGGGCATCGAGACCTGAATTATATTTAGCCAACGGGACGTCTTATAGTGTAAATGTGTGTGTGGTCCGTGTCTATACTTGACTTCATGTCTTTAAAGTCCCAGATGAGAGAAAAGAGAGAAGAATATGTGTCTTTCATTCTTTAAAACCACGGCTTCGCGTGGGAAATCTGTGCTGCTGACATGTCTGGGACCGACTACAGCTCAGATAGAAGAGAAGCCACCAGCTGTGGCATTGGTGGGTTTTTTTTTTTTATTTTGTTTTTTACTCCCAGCCGCTCGTCTTCATGTCAGAGTCGCCCTTGAGCAAGACACCGATCCTGAACTGCTCCTGGTCTAAAGTCTCTAAAGTGCTGAATGTGTGGTCTCTGTGCCAAAAACTGTCTCGCCTCGGGAGGCCTCTCCATCTGTCTCAGCCCAGTTCACGTTCATAAACACCTGGTATTACTTGCGTCAACTGCTGGGATTTGAGCAGACAAGTGATGATTTTGTGTTCTTTGTTTTTCTGCGTGGAGGCGGGGATTCATGCTGCACACCTGTTGGCTCCGTGAGACTCAGTGAGTCACAGTGCCGAAGAAACGATCACACAAACATACGTAAAATAGAAGAAGTCAGTAGAACGCACAACTCCACCAGGACTCGTGTTCAGCGTCAAACTGCACCAGTAACCAAAAATCCAAAAAGTTAGTTCATCTGGAAATGGTTGAAAACGTCTCATCATCTTGAAATATTGAATTAACAAACAAGCAAACGGGATTAAAAAAAAAAACCAAGTGAGTCGACTGCAGTGAGTAAACAGATGGAGACTGACGCTGGAAGGTCGGACTCTCTTCAGAACTGAATCAGCATGAAAACACAAACAACTCCGAGAGGCTGCGGTTCCAGAATCCCCCCCCGACGCTCCCACAAACACACACACACACACACACACACAGTCGTTCACAAACCCACTGAGACGCTCGGCTGATATAAGTCATCTTCTCGGAGACATAGACAAGAGGAGTTTTCCCACTTTGTCTGAACCTCTGGACGCTTACAGCAGCGTTATGTGCAGCCCACTCAGCTCGTACACACGAACAACCGCTCTCTGTCTTTATTTAAAACCTCTTCTTTTTTTACCCTCACCTCTTCATCACCCCTTCTCTCCTCCTCCTCCTCCTCCTCCTCCTCTCCCTGCTCCACTTGCTCGATACAATCGGAGAGTGCAGCTCCACGGCCCTGTGGTTGTCCGGTGTACAGGAACAGGAATGTCTACAAGTTGATGACACACGTCCAAAACTAATTTACATCCCATTGCTCATCTCCCAGCAGTCACACACGCGGACGCGACCACCGTTCATTTACACGTCAGCACTTCCTGCTTTTATAAATCCAGGCATTTTAACCCCGCTCCTCTAAAAGCTTCATCACGGACGATGGAGTCGTCGAAACTGAAGCGTTTACAGCCTTAGATGCTCGATGACTGAAGCTTATGAGTAACAAAATAAAAGATGAGGTCTTATTTTCTTGTTCTTTGCTAATCGATTCACATGCAGAGCCTCAGACAACCCACGTGCTCTGCTTCACCGCACCGACCACTGGCTCAAACTCTCATGTGATGCACGGCAAACAAAATATGTTCTGGAAATCTTTGTCTCTGACGTTCGTTGTAAATGCAACACAGCGGCGTTAGGTCGCTGTGTTGCACAAGAAGCCGTGTTCCTGATGTCAGGGGCCCGATCCCGCAGCACGTCTGCGTCCGCACGACGCTGCAGCTGCTGCGGCAAACAGGTGTTTGGAGGAAAGAGAAAATATGTCTTAGCTCTTTTGCAACAAGTTGAAATATTTGAGAGTCCACTTGGGTGGAAATAATACCGGCCCTCATCGCCCGAAGGGATCCTGGAACAATGAAGCGTGTCCTTTCAAGTTAAGAGGAAAAAGACGGCGAATGGTATGAAGAGTGTTTCGTAACCGGTTCTGGATTAAGACGTCAGTTATCCGAGGACCCAGAGGAGAAACATAAGGTTCAACCCTCCACATAATTGTAATAAATGTTGTGTAATAAGACTGAGACACTGAAATTCACACTTTTTCTATATTTCTGGCTCGTAGCTCTGGCACACAACCGGCTGAATAGATGAACTACTCGTGTAGGTCGATGGCAAATGAACTCAAACCACTTCACACTCATACAAACACTTTGGCATGGAGGCTGGAGGAGCCGGGTATCGAACCATATCCAGTTTGTGGACGACCTTCGGCAAAAAGGCAAAAATGAAAAGCATTCAAAAACGTCCGTCGGCGACGTAATGCGACTCTGCTGCAGTTCATCCAGGGAAAACTGCTTTGTCCCCCCCCCCCCCATAATTAAATATATTTGTTTAGTTTTTTTTTACAATTGAATTTAGAATCTTTGTCGACAGCCCGAGACCGACAATCCAACAAGTCCGCAGCAGATGCTTGGATCTGAGCGACTGATAAACTCCACGGTTCGCACGTGTTGCTCGGTTTTCGCTCGCTGACGTCGGTTTTATCAAACAGAGAATGACAAGCGATGAGTGTGAGAAGCTCGGAGCATTAAAAAATGAGGTGGACGGAAAAGAATGGAAAACTAATAAAAACAGAAGTGGATGAAGAGGAGTTCTGGCTGCAGTTTATCTCCTGGATCTTGTTATAATGCGCGTTGGCTCTGCACGATGATTCCTTTATGGAGCACACATGCACGTACAACTGTGTTCAATGGAGTCCGAGAGTGAGCGATGACAACGATGATGTGACAAATATGCGCGCGAGGGGATGGCAGCGGGGGATAATGATGATGATGATAGCGGTGCTGGCATGAAATGATAAAGATGGTGTTGACCGCCGTGATCGAACAGAGCGCGGTGAGAGACGTGCGGCGAGGAGGTGGAGCGGCGAGGAGCCAGAGCTGGAACATAAGGAAGGAATAATTGAAACAGAGGGAAGGCAGCTCCTAACAAACCCAGCTGGAGAGGAACAAATAAAAGGGAAGTAGATGAAAGACGAAGAGGAAGTGAAGAATGGAGGTGTCGCAGGAGAGAAACCGCAGAAAGACGGAAAAAAAAAAGGAAAAATATACGATTTTGATTAAAGAGCAGGAGACAAAAGGAGGGAGAGTAAAAAAAATGGGTTAAACCTCGTATATAAATATATAAACTGAAATAACTCACGTAGAGAAGTTAATGGAAAATATGTGTTCGGTGCGATGGACTGTGTCTTAAAACAACAGTCACACGTCCACGTGTTCATTAAAAGCGTCGTTATACACAGGAAAACCTCATTTGACTTGGAGGAAGAAATATTTAACGATATGTCCAAAGAAATCATCACTCACTTCACATCGAATGTGTTTCATTATATGAGACGCTTGCGTTTCACAGGTGGCTTTGATTTTTTATTTGACTTTGCGTCGCAGTTTTTCTTTCTGCGTCCAGTGTTTGGAGCCACTGAGTTCAGTTTGGTTCATAATTTTAAAAAAAACTTTAATGCAACTAAGGTTTTAATGAGTCGATCGCAGTTTGTTTGTTTTTACATTTTCAGAGCAGGAAACCAAACTGATCCAAAGACTGTTTATCCGCGAACACGCTGAAAACTGAAACCACCTCAATTAAATTTGAATTAAAATTGTAAATTAAACCGTTTTACTGCTTTGGAGTTTCTCCTGAATATCGGCTCCTCGGGCCACAGGGCACCGTGTGCAGCGGAGCGTGACGTTCCAGCACATGCAGCCGAGGGGAGGAGGTGGAGGGAGGAGCAG